AGCGGTATTGGGGCGGTCACTGCCCTTTGCCCACAGCCATGAGGATGGAGGAGGCCGCGGGCAGGTGGTGGGAAGCCCTCACTTTGGGGTTGGATGGACCTAGATCCAAGCCCAGGGGCTGCCACTCTCAAGTTGTTTTTCTCTTTCTGAATCTGAGTTTCCTCATCCGTAAAGTGGCCGTCACAGAGCCTATCTCACAGGGTGGTGGTGAGGAGTAAAACACCTAATATGTGAGAAGCACCATGGCTGGCACATAATACATGCTCAGTAAAGTCCTCGCTTGTCATTGTGTCCCACACTCCGAGCGACTGCAGTGTGTCCTTATGTGACTGTCACACGAAGACATATCATCCCTCATGTGTGTCATGGCGGATCACAGGAAGGCTGGGCACCCCGGGAGCCATCATCTCAGATTGGGGGAAGGTGTCATTTGCAGCTTTGCCGGGCATAGACACGTGTATAAGTTCTCCTTTCTTCTTTCTTCCTCAACCTTCAAGAAGCGTTGCTATTACACCCTCTTTAAATGTCTGCTTTAAAATAAAAACAGTACTGAAGTCGAAGCTCTCGCACGCGCGCACGTGTGTGTGTGTGTGTGTGTGTGTGTGTGTGTGTGCGCATATGTACATAAGCATGTGTGTTAGAGAGAGAGAAAGGGGAAAGAGAATATGGGGTAGTTAGGATTTGGTGCGAAGGGAGGCTGGCCTGGCAGAAGCTCTTCACTGCTGGGGGCCGAGGGACCAGGTTAGGACTGAACCCCGAGCCTGCAGAGATCTGGCAGCCGCCTGGGGCTGCATCCAGCATGCCTGACCTTGCCAGGGCAGGTGGCAGATGGAACCTTCAAAGCCAGTGAGTTGAGAAATCCGTTTCTCTCCCAGGGACTCTGGACAGCTTCACCACACACTCAAAGGTCAGCCAGCCCGCTCCCTTTCTGTCCAGATGTCAGAGGCCTGGGACGCGGCATGGCTCCCCCAGAGCAGGCTGCTGGCACCTGGGGACAGGAGTGTCCCCTCTGTGGGGCCTCAGGAGATGACAGAACTCTCAGGGCTCCCACCACAGAACCCCCTCTGCCGTGTACCCAAGATGCCTCCTGGCCACATCCCAGCACCTGGCCCACCTCCTGGGTGTGGAGCTAACCAACCTCACAATCCCCAGAGAGAATCATAGAAATGGTTCCAGGTTTTCATCGCTTCCATGTGTAGTGCTATATGCACCTTCTCCATTAACAAGACACAAACCTGGTTTGATGGGAAAATACCGTTTGGTTAAATCGAATTTTGCTTTTCTAAGAGAGACAGAGACAGAGGCTCTAACCGGAATTCACAGTGAAGATCAGCAGCGTTGTCCTGACTGGCAGAGGTGCGAGATTCTAAGCCAAAGCCCCACTCAGGCGGCCCAGGTGTGGAGAAGGCCCTCTCTCCAAGCCCAGCCTTTTCTATGGGTGTGCAGGTAGTCTGGCCTGCCGGGACCGCCCCAGGGAGCCCGGTGCCCCCCAGAACTCAGGGTTCTACAGTTCCCAGCATAACGAGGGGCCAGGTGTGGTCCCGTGAATGCTGGCAGGCAGAGTCCTCATCGACCACCCTCTGCCTTGTTCAGGGTGTGAACTTAGAGCTATAGAACTAAAGCCAACGTCAGCTCCGCAGACGCAAAAGTTTCACGACTAGGCCCTTTACACCAGGTTCCCAGCAGAGCCCACATGGACTCTCCGAGGTCCACACCTTCCCAGGAGAAAGCATCTGGTTGCCCAGGTTGGGTTCTGTGCCCACCTGGTCCAGGTCGCCGCAGGTCATGGAAATGTGATGGGGCGCTCACCCCAGCAGGAA